GCATAGATTAACTTCTCGGAGAAAAGAATAATCCCATACTTATTCTCCCTTTAGATGAGAAGTCATAAATGAGTTTCGACCCGAATTATTTACCACATCTGCTTGTTTGTTTCAATCCCAACCTTTTGTTTCTCGCCTTTGGATATTAGTAGTTGTAGAATCTGGCTTTTCTAGTTGATATTCAATCACTCAATACATATATCTATATGATTTCTAGATTGAAAAATAAACAAAATTCATCTACCTAAGAGTGAAAATATATGACAATGAAAACCCCACTTTCAAGTTTACAATCTCTCTGTAAAACATAAATACATGAAGTGCCTCCAAGAGATCGATTCTAAAGTTACTCACTCTAACATATGATAAAGATTAAGCAAACCCTAAGAATAAGAGGTATATAACAAATAAAATTCCATCCCCTACGTTTAATGTTTAACCTATGCCTTTTTATAAAGCTCATATACTTGTCCTCCAAGCATATTACTTGTTTTTCAAGTATTAGGTCTTACCATGTAGGAAAATTAGGTTTTGGAAAGTTTTCCCAGAACTAACATTTAGGTCAATCGAAATGGTAGCGGTTTCGATCGATCGAGATACCCTATGCTCGATTGAACCAAATACGAGTTTCTTTGATCAAACTTACTTAGTCTTTGATCGATTGAAAAAGGTTTAAGTTCGAGTAAAAATTTTCATGCTCTTGGGATCTCAGTAATGTACTGTGTCAATCAAAGTTGAACTTTATGTCGATCGATTGAGACTTCGATCGAAACAACAACATTTTCCTCATAAATAAATAAATAAAGGTTTCAAGCAATTTTAAGTTACGAAATGTTTATCTATGCATAAGTAAAGTTCAAATAAGTTGTATAAACTTGTGAAATTTATCTATGTAAGTACATATGCATGTGTTGAAAAACTTTTGATGCATAAGCCATAGTCTAAAATAAGTTTAGAAAACTTGTAAACATGAAGTACATATATATGGCTCATATATATGGCTTATCTCATATAGTAAAACTTATTATTTTGAGTTATCAATAACTATATATATATATATATATATATATATATATATATATATGAAAAAAGCTTTTAGAAACATGACACACGCACACACATATATATGTTGGAATATATAAATGAACATTGCCTGTAACGTAGTTTGAAAAGTTGCAGCAACATGAATGTCAACACTAATATGGTGGTATTATGTTACATACAAAGTAGTCTACAGTGTTTTAATGTATTCGGTTACAACATTGGGTCATGACTGTTGGTAACAATGCATATTGTGAAAGGGATACGTTTTAACAGGTGCGGTTGGTTAAAATGATGAGATGCCTACAATCTGAATAAGTGTGAGTTTTATTCAAACCAACCATTGCAACCTATTGGGAGTGGTTGTGTATGTTGCCGAAGAGATACCAACCAACCATTGCAACCCATTGGAAGTGGTTGTGTATGTTGACGAAAGGCACCATGTTGGCTATAAATACCCCACTGGGGTCATTTGCAAAACGTACCAAACAAACTCATAAATCCTCTCTCTGGTTTTGAATTCTTCTGTCTTCTTTCCTTCTCCTTTCCTTGCATACATATAGTATAGTTCTGTAGTTGCTTAAGTTCAGTAAGAGAGAGTACTACACCGAGTCGGTTCGCCCATTTCTCTGATTTACAGTGCTACTATGGAAAAAAGAAAGGTCGTTGGGAGACATATGTTACAAAGTCCGTCAGTACCATAGCAGAGCGAATCTGTCTTAAGGACATAGAATTAATTTATAGACTCGGCCTATTATCAGGTTCCTTTATTATATAGTTTATTATATTATTTTATAATCATAGATATATATATATATATATATATATATATATATATATATATATATGAAATATTATGATAAATTATAATATAAATTATAATATATATATCATAATATTTCATATATATATATATATATTTCATATATATATATATTATAATTTATCATAATATTTCATATATATATATATATATATTAATTTATCATAATATATATATTATAATTATATATATATATATATATATATTAATTTATCATATATATATTATAATTAAATATTATGATAAATTATAATATATATATATTATCATAATATTTAATTATAATATATATATTATAATTTATCATAATATTTCATATATATATATATATATATAATTATGTAGAAACTAGATTTCTTGATATCAAAATAATATGTATATTTATATATACATATTATATAAGTAGGTTCTAGATGCACACATAACATGATCATGTAGTTTCTCTAGATGCCTTAAATGATCCAGCAAGTTATGAAAACTTAAAACTCAATTCTAATAACATTATATGCATGTCTAGAAAAGCTATAAAATGATTCCTCACTCACCGTAACTAACCTAAGGTCAAACTAAGTTATTACTTGAATCATACTCAAGTGATTGAATATATTGATTTCACTATTCTTTTCATTGTGTTTGAATTATCTCTGTGGAACATAGCTGTAGTGTAACGACCCACTCTATCACTTAGTATGATATTGTTCGCTTTGAGCCTAAGCCCACACGATTTTGCTTGTTTAACCCCATAAGACCTTATATCAATTGGAGATAGCACCACCACATATAAGTATTTTACTATTCCCCTACCCAGATGATATGAGATTGTATACCAGTAACTCGTCCAGTGTGATAGCCTACGAGTGCCTCACACCCGCCTGCGGCATACCTACCCACAAGGTCGTCACATTTTCTAACATAGATAAATTTGAAAAGACATCTTTACTCTCATTGTATTATTTAAATTTATATATGTAAATGTATATTAGTAAGGTAACAATATAAATTATATGAACACTGTTCCTTTGATGGGTTTACGTTCGTAAAACGTAATCAAACCAAACCCGAAACTCTGAAACAAAGTACCTCGAGGTTCCTCGAAATGGGCTTTTAAACTCAAAAAAGTCTGTTTCATAAAAATTGATATTGTTTAGTAAAAATTTCAAATGGGCTTTGACATAAATTCGGCTCCTTCAAACAACTAATAGTTGATTTTAAAACTCACTTTCCGCACGTTTAGGGGATTGTGGATGTAAAATATAGTAAATACCTATGTTATCCTTAATTCTTATAAGTTATTTATTTATTTCTTATTCTTATATATCGACAAGTTATGTGTCAAAAGCAACTACTTTGCTTTCACAACAACATAAACAAATTGGATGTGGATGACCTAATGACACCGATAACCCTATTCCAACATCCTCAACCTTCTGTAATGCAATTTACTAGCCACCAATTTCACACCCACCACCACTAGTCCTCCTTGTGCCCCCAAGTTACCGGCATCGCCGCCACATCAATCCATATTAGTTGTGAACAATGTCTCAAACTCGCTACAAATTTTAAAATTATTGCACGTTATATCTGCAAAGTCAGTTTAAAACAACCACCATATAAATAAAATCCAATATCAACAGTACAATCGGAGTCAGGTGACGTGAATCACCGACCCTTGATTGAGCCATTGCTGGTAACTATAAGAGCAGGGTAATACTGTAAATTAAAAATTAAACAATATTCTTAATTCTCAAATGACTTAAAAAAAAGAAATAGTCTTCTCCAAACAACTTTTTTTTATTTTGAATTCCTTTTATCAAACTCACTTGTACCAAGGCATTTTTTAATTAAGGGCTTTTGACCACGAGAAGCTCTTCCAAACAACACCTTAGATATAGAAGAGATGAATAGGTCTTGTATAACTTTTTTAACTTTTAAAAACTCCATTATTAAAATTACCGTTAATATATGGTTAAAATAAAAAATTAATTTGCTTGAATGATAGGCAACTTGTCATTTCAAACAAAAACATGGATTCTACCCTAAATAAATAAATAAAATCAAGTTAAGCAATTATTATGACCACCAAGTTTTATGTGAAGAAAATCATAACTCATTATTGATGACAAATACCAAACCTTCAATACAGTCAAAGTTCTCCAAGTTGATTTGTCTACAATATTCCGCGAATCTGCTTCATTAAATCTACTTGTTCACTAATTAATAGATGGCAAATAAGTGGTCAATAGAGTGCCAATCCTGAATTCTAGAGTGTGGATGGGATATTGGGCCAATGATCTTCTTTTGACAATCCAATATCATTATTAACAAGAATAATGCACTTTATGTCGGCATCTATATATGCTACACGCTATAAAATATCGCATTTTGCAAGTTTTTTCCAATCTGATTTGGTTACAGATATAACCTAGTCGAAGAGCAATTTTGGGGGTTTAAAGGTAAAATGACCTAAATTTCATTATGGAAGTGTCACTTTGATGATTTGGTTATGGTAGGATGATGTTAGAGAAATTGAGAATTGATGCTCACGATTGGACGACTTCAGTAGATCCTATGTAATCCATTTTGATGAAAGTAGCTTGACTGAAGAAACTTAAGCACATGTGATTGTGTTTGACTCAATTATGTTTGGTTTGTAACGGAATTGTCGGGAATTGGCACATTAATTAATTAAATAAATGAGCCTTTTAAGTAATTGTATCCGGTTGGCGTCACAAATGAGCATTTAACTAAATTTTAATTAAGCATATTTTGTTGCGTAAATTGATTATTACCAAAAATCATAACCTACTTTTCCTTCCTCAAAGGTGGACGGTTCAAATCGAGTGTCTCCAAATACATTGCGGGAATTCCCGCCACCCTCAAAGAATTTTCTATATGTGGGACCTGTTGGGTCCCATATAAGGTGCTTTTAACAGATCCCAAACCACCGGTGTAAAGTAATCACCAAAAAAAAAAAAAAAAAAAGAAAAAATAAAATTTGAAGTGATGACATCACAACTGACTGCGCATGCCAAGCAAATGACCGTATGGGTTTCCTATAACGCAGAGCTAAAGCAGGGAGTAGCCCAAAAAAGTTAGGGTTTGATTTGTTCATCGATCTGCGACGTATTGGAAGAAAATGTCAGATGTCATACCTCTACCTCTTGAACTGTTGATCGACGTCCTCACTAGACTGCCGATCAAAACCCTCGTTTGCTGTGCTTGTGTCTGCAAATCATGGCACAATTTGGTCACAAGCCCTCGTTTCATCACCACTCACCTCAATCGATCATCTCTTGCTAACAACAGCAACCTTCTACTAGTTCGAAGCTGCTCTAATGATGACAAGGAAGAGAATTACTCACTACTAAGTTGCGAAAATGAAAAGTTCTGTGAGTATGCAGAGTTTGAGCTTCCAATCGAGAGATACGAGAACCCTTATTTGAGGATAATCGGTACCTGCAATGGGCTCGTTTGTCTTTCCGATGATTCTGTTTGTTACATGTTCGATATTTATCTATGGAATCCCTCGATTCAGAAGATGGTGGCCCTTCCGCCGGTACGTCTCACCTTTGAATCATACGGTGATTTAGTGCATAGCATGGGATTCGGCTTCGATTCGCTGACCAATGACTACAAGGTTATCAGGATTGTGTATTTCGAAGGACCCTTTGGTTGTCAATCTCCTCCGGAGGTTGACATTTTCAGTCTGAGCACAGGCATATGGCGGAACATCAGCCATTTGGGTCTTCAATATACCATCTACCCACGGGCTCCACAGGCTTTTCTGAATGGGGCGGCGCATTGGCCTGCATATGATTGGAGAAGGAGGGGCAATTTGATCGTGTCATTCCACATGGGAGATGAAGTATTTGGCGAAATGATGGTGCCCGATAGCTTGGTTCATCACAACTGGCTGCAAGGTGTTCGTGTTGCTAAGTTTCAAGAATGGCTTGCTCTGATCCATATCAAGCGTACTGATGACAATAATACTTGTTGCATATGGGTGATGAAGGAGTATGGCATACCAGAGTCTTGGACTAAACTATTTAGTATTGATATGAGTGGGGGATTATTCACTAATGTAGCCGGCTTTACTAGGAAAGGCGAAGTTCTATTTGGGACAAAAGACGCGTATCTGGTAGCTTATGATCCTGAAGTGGAACAAGTAAAACATCTTCATGTTCGGGGGTCTACAGATTCATGGTATAGGGACTCATTTTATGCAGATGCTTTTACTGAGAGCCTAGTTTTAATTAGAGAAAAAGAGCCACCTGTTTTGCATGGATAAAAGAAAAAAGAAATGAAGAGCAAAATCAAAAGAAGAAAGGGAAAGAACAGGCAAGATGCATGATTTTACTTACTTTTACATCTTATATTTGCTATTGCAATTGCTATTGATTTCTGTTATTGCTACATGTGAATGTAAAAGCTCAACCTAGCATTTAAGTGATCTCTATATCAGCATTGCTATTGCTATTACTTTTGTCAATTACTGTTTCATATTCATCTTTGAGGAGTTACAATTATTGCTTATCTTGAGATGGATTTAGATGTTATCCTGAAAGTATTTGTTATCCATTATTGCTTTTGATGCCATTGTATCTTCTAAAAACTTTGTTTTGGCGGTGCGAACCACATTATGTTATATATGAATTAAGTTACTAGTAAAAAAATATTATATGAATTAAGTTGAAAAAGAGCACCTTCTTTAGGTCTGGTTGCTGGATGTTGTGGCAAACATTTTTTTCCCCATAAGTGAGGTTGAATTCCATCGAAAGACAATCAAATCAGTACAATGGATAAAGAGAGGACATTCCCTCCCTGCACAATAAAATCAAAAAGTGAAAATGACCACTTCCAATACACATGAAAGCAACCACAAAGCAAGAAAGACAGCACCCTACGGCTAATGACAAACAAATTCAATGACAGAGCAGATACATCCACGAGCTCAAAAACAACAGCTCTAGCAACCTCCACTGAAGATCTAGCAGTATCTTGATACATCCTCAAATTCATTTCTTGCCGAACAGCCCATATAGTAGTGGAGAAAATCATAGAAAACTGGCGGAAAGAAGAAACCTTGTGAATAGCCCACATAAGAAATTCATCAAAGGTATAACAATCCATATGCCAATCGAAAGAGTTATTAAGCCAATCCTAGATGCCTCAGGCAAAATTGCATCCAAAAAATAGTTTATGCCTGGTATCTTCATCACCCATAGCATGGGATTTGGCTTCGATTCGCTAACCAATGACTACAAGGTTATCAGGATTGTGTATTTCGAAGGACCCTTTAGTTGTCAATCTCCTCCGGAGGTTGACATTTTCAGTCTGAGCACAGGCATATGGCGGAACATCAGCCATTTGGGTCTTCAATATACCATCTACCTGCGGGCTCCACAGGCTTTTCTGAATGGGGCGGCGCATTGGCCTGCATATGATTGGAGAAGGAGGGGCAATTTGATCGTGTCATTCCACATGGGAGATGAAGTATTTGGCGAAATGATGGTGCCCGATAGCTTGGTTCATCACAACTGGCTGCAAGGTGTTCGTGTTGCTAAGTTTCAAGAATGGCTTGCTCTGATCCATATCAAGCGTACTGATGACAATAATACTTGTTGCATATGGGTGATGAAGGAGTATGGCATACCAGAGTCTTGGACTAAACTATTTAGTATTGATATGAGTGGGGGATTATTCACTAATGTAGCCGGCTTTACTAGGAAAGGTGAAGTTCTATTTGGGACAAAAGACACGTATCTGGTAGCTTATGATCCTGAAGTGGAACAAGTAAAGCATCTTCATGTTCGGGGATCTACAGATTCATGGTATAGGGACTCATTTTATGCAGATGCTTTTACTGAGAGCCTAGTTTTAATTAGAGAAAAAGAGCCACCTGTTTTGCATGGATAAAAGAAAAAAGAAATGAAGAGCAAAATCAAAAGAAGAAAGGGAAAGAACAGGCAAGATGCATGATTTTGCTTACTTTTACATCTTATATTTGCTATTGATTTCTGTTATTGCTACATGTGAATGTAAAAGCTCAACCTAGCATTTAAGTGACCTCTATATCAGCATTGCTATTGCTATTACTTTTGTCAATTACTGTTTCATATTCATCTTTGAGGAGTTACAATTATTGTTTATCTTGAGATGGATTTAGATGTTATTGAAAGTATTTGTTATCCATTATTGCTTTTGATGCCATTGTATCTTCTAAAAACTTTGTTTTGGGGGTGCGAACCACATTATGTTATATATGAATTAACTAATTAAGTTACTTGTAAAAAAATATTATATGAATTAAGTTGAAAAAGAGCACCTTCTTTAGGTCTGGTTGCTGGATGTTGTGGCAAACATTTTTTCCCCATAAGTGAGGTTGAATTCCATTGAAAGACAATCAAATCAGTACAATGGATAAAGAGAGGACATTCCCTCCCTGTACAATAAAATCAAAAAGTGAAAATGACCACTTCCAATACACATGAAAGCAACCACAAAGCAAGAAAGACAGCACCCTACGGCTAATGACAAACAAATTCAATGATAGAGCAGATACATCCATGAGCTCAAAAACAACAGCTCTAGCAACCTCCACTGAAGATCTAGCAGTATCGATACATCCTCAAATTCATTTCTTGCCAAACAGCCCATATAGTAGTGGAGAAAATCATAGAAAACTGGCGGAAAGAAGAAACCTTGTGAATAGCCCACATAAGAAATTCATTAAAGTTATAACAATCCATATGCCAATCGAAAGAGTTATTAAGCCAATCCTAGATGCCTCAGGCAAAATTGCATCCAAAAAATAGTTTATGCCTGGTATCTTCATCATGAAAACAGTTATGGCAAACTGATGGGAGAGGTAGCCCTCTCTTCTGTAAATTAATAAACGAAGGATGCTTATCGTGTAGGACAATACAAGTGGTAAAATTGGTTTGAGGCCTACCTCTGTTTGAACACAGTTTCCTCCCGTCACAGACTCACAGTAGCATTATGGGATCTGCAAACCTCCAAATCTCTTTTAAAACTGAAACTAACATCATTCCACAAAAACAAAAAAAAAAAAAAAAATCTGTATTAGAGTGAATTGGACCTGACCACCTTCAAATCAGTGGTATCAAACAAATCAAAGTACCATCTGTTATTCTGTCTAATAGCAGCAAGAGACGAGTCCCTATGAAAAGGTAAACTTCTGACAAGCCTGTGGCCAAACATTAGAATTAAAGTCTCACTACCACACCAAGGGTCTTTATATAAGCTAAATTTATGTCCATCGGTATGAATAGTAATAGCTTGCTGCATAACATTCTTAACAGAGAACATGTTCCTCTGCATGGGAGAAGCACTAGGATATTGAACTGCATTCCGATATGAAATACCCCCAGCATATTTATCTCAAAACCATTTAACACACAAGTTTTGTTTGCAGTTCAGGTAGTCCCAGACTAACCCACAGAAAACAGTTCTTTGAATGTCTTCCACACATGTAAGACCAAATCCACCTTCAAGATTAGGCCTTGCAATAAGGCCCCACTTCATAAAATGCATCTTAGACAAGAATCAGAGCCACCCCAGATGAATTTCTTAATTTTCCTTTGAATGAGATGGGAAACGTTGGCAGGAAGCTTAGCAGCAGAGCACCAATAAAAGATGAGAGGGTAGATAACAGATCTAACTAATTCTGTCCTCCCAGCCAAAGAAAGGTCAAGTTTGGACCAAGTAGTAAGTTGATAGAGATAAGCTTTTAGAATTCAAAGGTACACCCAAATATTTAAAAGGACAAATACCTTCCTTGAATTGTAAAATTCCAAGACATTGCTTCCTTCAAACAGCTTTGGAGAAATAGACTGGATTTGTTCTCATTGGGAATGTCGTGCCAAGCATTTAGAAGTCACTAGTTCATGATATTCTGTGAGAAATCACTTATCAAAAAACAAATTTGTAGTAAATCATAGCTAGTTTTACTTTTTGCTCGGATAATGCTAGCCAAGATTAAGGTTGGCTTGTTTCGCTTGCTAAGCCAATCTCGAGTTCAAATTTGAGCTAAATAAATGAGCCGAGTTCACTAGTCTTAATGAGTCAAGTGAGGTTTATTCAAATTTGTCTTGCTTGCTTAATGAGGTAAAAATGTTGATTGAATTATGCTGGTGTACTGTGCTAACTAAAACAGACAGAGCGCTTAGCTGCTTATGTAGTTGAGCTTGAGCTGTTCATGAATTAGTCATTCGGTTGACCCCTACTTATGGGCCGTGTGCCGCTGCATAGTAGGATTAGGACCTCTAATTGGTGAAAAGACTATCCTCTGATATCTGACATGATAGTAAATTAATTAACTTGAATGGTAGTCTGAGAGCAGTGCTGCTCACTCCTCATTATTCTGTTCTTCCTTTGACTTGATGGGATGAGACTACAACACAATGTATGGCCTTCATGCAACTGATGACCATGTTTAAGTTTCAACCTTTTCTTTTTGCCTTCTCTAATTGTAGCTCTAGTTTTTACTTACTCTTATACCCTAATGGAAGGCAAAATTTTATGGGAGATCTAGCTCATATTAGAAGTGCAAAACAAATCTGTAATTCTTTTTAACCAGAAAGGACTGGCTGTTATAAATAGCCCATGAATTTCTTTTCTCTTTGCAGTACTAAGTTTGGTTATCTTTCTATTTGGAGAAATAGAGTCCAATGATTATTTAAATTCATGAAAAAAAAAAAAATTTCTTGGGGCATGTAGCCATGCTTTCTTGGTTTTTGCCAACATATCCAGGAAGTAACATTTAATGATCTGCCAGGGCAGGTTATATTTTATTATTGATGATTTGTTTAATATCCTCTATTGGCCTCATAAAACTTTGTTTACATGTCTGTGTGAAGCCAACTTCCAGAACTGCTCATACCTTTGTGCTCTTAGACATGTTTTATGTCCTGTTATTTGAGTTAATAAAATAATATTTTAGGACATAACATGTCTAATAATATATTTGATATGATATGTTTCTTGATGGTATTCTCAGGTGCTAGACCTTGTTTGTTTCGGTGCACTTATTTAATTGATAGTGGAACCCACATGACTTCAAGTTTGATGGTATTAATATATATGCCTTGCCTATCTTCTGAGTGATAATCACAGACATGGTTAACAAGCTGCATCTCCCAGGTTGCTAGCATACGAAAGCATTCCAGCAGTGTACAAAACCAGATGCATCAATCTTATCTATTGTTGATTCATGAAATCCCATAGCTTGTTTTCTCTTCTTTCTTGCAGTCTATTCATCTACATGTGGCAATTTTGCTTTTATGAAGCATGGCTTACCATGTAAAAACTCACGGGAACTATTGACACTCATGAATTGTGGCTCAGGTTGGATAACATTGATCAAGAGAAGAATTTAGAGCCCTACTTTTTCTTTTTTCTTTTTTTCCATTTTTTTTGTGTTGTTTTAGTAACCATCTGAACTCTTCTTAAAACATATATTTTTTAGCAAATTAGCTGTTAAGGTTCTATTTGGGTGCTCCATTATTTTGGAGCAGAATGGTGATATCAATTAAGCAGCAAATGAAGTATAATTAGCTTTAATTTTCCCTTCAAGGACTGCTGGATCTGCCTGTGCTACATGAAATTGTTTCTCCTAAGAAATTTGATATTCTCCTGAAGTGCTTGTGGAATAGTTGTTGTGATTGGGTACTTACATTTGTGTGATAATTTTTTATTATATGAAAATTTAATTAATACACTGGTAGGTATGTCTCTTGCCCAAACTCGGTTTATCTTGGTATAGATAAACCTGACTATTTGAAAATGTTGTTGATCTATGTTGATGCTGCTTTGCTTTGGAATCTCCTGGTTTTGACCATTCACTTCGGAGTATTATGGTTGATCTAATTTTTTGTCTTTTATTATGAAAATTCATTATAAAAATTTGACATAATCTTATAGCTGGTAGTCTACTGACGCCACCTAAACCAAATCATTATATTCCCAAAGAGCCAAAATATATGTTTGAGATGCTAATCACTAACAGCTTGAAGTTCCTATTTAGTTAAAACAAGAAGATTACTATGTGCTAAATAGTTCGTAAAAATACGAAATAAGAGAAACACCTTAAACTTTTTTTTATATAAGAAATGCATAAACACTCCCTCAATTTATTGACCGTCTATTTAAACAAAATCAATGTTTTAACATTTTTTTTTTCTTTTGTTTTTAGCAGATTCTATAGCATCCAAGATTGTGGCATAAAAGCGGATGCAAATGGAGATTGTTTCAGTGTCATTGAACCAATGGGATGAGATGAGATATTTGTCAGCAGGTTCTCATGGTTTGTATTGTACATCTTTGGGACATCTTTTGGATTTTGTGGATTCCTTGAAACAATAGTGGCGCCTTAGGCGTCTTTTGTATTCCTTTGGGAACGCTCCCCTTTTGAGCGTCTTTTATAAAATCAATCTTATCAAAAAAGGAAAAAAGGTTCTCATGGTTTGCAGAGCAGTGGGGATGGTAGTCTCTAGCCAAGATGGAGTCCGCCTTCAGTGGCAGGGGAAGTAATTCAAAAGACTGGAGTTTGCATTTTCAGGTGTGTGGCTTCTGCTACAGTGGCAGAGGCATTGGTAGTTAGGCAAGCACTTCAATGGGCTGTGGGGTGGGGTTTGCCCAATCTCATTATTGAATTGGAGGGAGACTCCAACTTAGCAGTGGCTTGCTGCTATCAAGGAAGATATTAATCAGATTTTAGCTCAACAGCCTTGCTTCTCTATGCAATGGGTAAGGAGAGAGGGTTACAAGGTTGCCCATTTGTTTGATAAGTTGTTACATGGTCCCGGGCCAATTACTACTAGCCACGTAAACAATTGTGTCGGAAATGCGTAAGCTTTTATTTAGTTTTTTTTTTGCTTACGTGTCCAATGATGATT